ACCAACATAATTATTACATTCAAATGAAGTACATTATTCAAGTTTACATTAACTTTGGATAATAATACGGGAGAAATGAGCGGAAGCGCTCTCTTTTCCTCTCTCCCCCTCTCTCTCTCTCTCCTGACAGCCTGTCAGTATCGTCTCATGCAGCTCACTGATCCAGTAATGAGTGACCCGATAGCGAAGAATAAACATATTTATAACTAGTTTAGCTTGTAGATAAAAGTGTGTAAGGTCTAACTCTTAGTGTGTGTGTTGCTCCGCTCACCGGTCCGTCGCAGCGGGTGGAGCTGCAGGATGTCTGCTTCACACACGTTGCATACCGCTATTTTACTTTTCGGACACCTTGAAATACTGCCAGACTGGTGAAGCCATTTTGGCGAGCTTGTTTTGCCGCGCACAGAGAAAAGTGTCATGTATTTTACGTAATAATTTTACGTCATGCTATCGGCTCTCGCAATCGGCATTTTTAGAGAGCACCGATCGATCGGTAGAGAGTGAGTATCAGCCGATATCGATCGGTGGCCGATCGATCGGAGCATCCCTAATTGTACTTAGTAGGTAATACTTGCAGTCTTGCTTTGATGGTACATTTCAGAACATCCTCACCAACAGCGGCGTTCTTAAACACTGAGTGTGAGACTGAGTGGTCAGCAAACCCCAAACAGGCTAGCTTTCCCTGTAATCTGAGTCCACACCAGTGCTGCCTGATCTCAGACTGCTTCATGCTGAGCAGAACCCTCCTTGCAGAGTCTCTGTGCAGTTCCACAGTCTCTTCCTGAGGTGTTGTGATGTCGGCCTTCACAACCACACTGGGGTCTGTGATCAGTTCATCAGAGACGGGGACTTCATTTTGTGTGTTGAGTCTTGTCCATTTCAATTGAACTCCAGTCTGATTGCAGAGGTCATTGAGATCTGGCCAGTCAGACCAGACCCCGAAGCCCTTGGCCTGAGAGTCCAGTTTCCCAGAGTGTTTCCTCCTGAAGTCGAGGAAGTTGTTCTGGTCTGCACACACACACACACACACACACACACACACACACACACACACACACACACACACACACACACACACACACACACACACACACACACACACACACACACACACACACACACACACACACACACACACACACACACACACACACACACACACACACACACACACACACACACACACACACACAGTGTGCTGACAGACTGCTCCATCATGACTGTCCTCCACTGGAGAGATAACTCGTAACACTGCAATCAAACCTAAGAGGCAGAGCACTGTGTGCTACTTTTTGGTGCTAAAACACTATCTTCAATACAAGAATATAATGAACATATTCATGGTCCAAAACAGCACATGTTAGATTTTATGTGCTATAAAATAATCTTAAAGGGTTCTTTTCAAGATGATACACATATAACTTTGCTCAAAATTGTATGTATGTAGTATACATACAATTTTGAGCAAAATGTAGTGAAGAACTGAAAGATGTAACAATTCCAGAAACATCATATCTGATCTTTAATAAAAGTATTTGTTCCCTTTACTCACTTAAAGTTTTACTATATTTGGCAAAGCAGAGTACTTAATAATTATTATATTCTAGCGTAAGGTCCACCTTCTAGAAGGTGATTTTTTCTGTTCAGGGAATCAATATATTTGTACCAATAACCATTAACATTAAATAAAGGCCATGATGGTGATATACATCAGGAAGGCCATGCACGTTTGCACTGGACAGTAATGTTGCACTAGGGGTCGCAGAAGAGACGTATGAAAGCACACTTAAGCTATGAATACACAAACAAAGAACATAGAACTTACAGAAGGTCTGATTGAAAAAAAAGGATTAGAAAAGTTTAGGAGAATGAAGAAAGGTCACAATATGGACAAGGATATGACATTAACACATTATTAGCCAATATCTGGGACAATCATTATTGTTACTATCAGGCTGTAAACTGTCAGGTACTATCTTAACTTTCCCCTCTGACTTTTTTCTCTTCTCTCCTTTAATCCTCTCTCTTTTTCTTTCCATCATCTCTATGTGCTTAATGTGCTTTACTTGGTATCACTTTTGTCATAAGGACTGGTTCATTGTGGGCAATTTCACAAGAAATCTTGATTTCCATTATCCCGTAATAAGATATGCAAGAATCACTGTTGAAATTAGACGCCTCTAGGTAGAAGAAGGATTGCTGAATATGACTAAATATGCGAAGAGGATCAGTTTCTTGATGCTGCTGTAGAGATTTGTATATTTTCATGGCTCTGGTTGTAACTGCCTGGAGAAACCTCAGCCACAACAGGGACTGTTGTTAACTGCCTCAGTTAATAAATAACCAACTATTCATTACCATGAATTCAGTCAAAGAAACAAAACACAAATGGTTGGAGTTCTTGATTCTTGACACCCATAAACACACATTTGTTTAAATAAAAACAAGAGAAACGCAAACCCTGCCAATGACGAGACTGGTGTTTGTATTGATGGTCTGATAGGAAGACCTGTGCTACACTTATTATTTTCTTAAAGACCCTTTTGAGTAATGAAAAAGGTGTGCCTCAAAGTGCGAGTCCAACAGCCCGTTGGTCAAACTGAGGACTGAGTTGGCAGAGGCTAGCACGCACAAATGATTACAAAAATACCTTTGCACCAGTGGATGTGGAGGGATCTAAAAATAGCTCACAATACACAGTCAAGGACTAAGAGCAAAGGTGAGGAGGAAGAGGGGGCTGGGGGTTTCATTTAAATCGAAAGACCAGGGGCCTCATTTATAACGCCTTGCGTAGGATTGACGTAGGAAGGTTGCTTACGTAGTACAAAGCACAAAAATAGGTACATAAATGTTCCGCCATTTTCCGATTCACAAAACATTGCGTACCGGCGAGGGAAGTGCGTACGGCACTTCCTACGCCTGTTTCCCTTTATGAATCACAATCGACTCGTAACGCCCATATTTGCCTATAAATAGTCAAAGAAACGCCCATTCATTCATTCATTTTGACTGACTGCATGAAGAAGATCGCAGGAAATTACGATAGAACAGCTAAAAAAGACATCTCACACCGTGTCAGATTTTGGTTATTGTGGGGAGGTCGAGATAAATCATATTGTTTGGTGGATGCAGTTTGAACCAGAGTAGCAGCATGGAGGTCGGATCGTCACCAAAATAAATAAATAAGTGGTCCGAAAAAAGTTAATGACAAAAAAAATACGCATAACCTTCCTCAGGCAGTGTGTTTGTCCGGGGGACAGGAGACACCCCCTTGATGAGAAATGATCGGGGAATCCCTCCGGAGTGGAGTCATGACGACTGGATCTGAATTATTTTTGTTGTATTTGGTGGTTTGTGTTCCAGCTGTCGATCAGCAACTATATCTCCATAATCCACCAGTTAAAGGAAATACAACTAATGTTGTGTTATATTAGCTGTACAATTTACCACATATGGTGTTCTTAGTTTCCATACCTCCTGTGTTTTACGAGCGACTTATCAAGTCTTGGCAAACGGCATAAAACACGATTAAACGTGATAGTATATAAAACCATGCTCGTATCTACAACCTATAGAAATGCAAAACGGCGTCAGTTTATTCTGTCCTCCTGCTTACCGCATCATTTATGAGAAAACATTTCATAACATTAACACAACATATTCGAGGTGGTTTTAAATAGCATCCGTATTTATTTATTTCTCCAAGTTATGTTTTTGTGTGCACTGAGGAGTCTCAAACAGGCGTTTGTTTAATCATTTTAAGATTGGGTTTAATCAATGTTTGCAAATGAATTCTTCATATATGATACATGAGAGGTAACATTTTATTTATGGTATTATTTCCACATATTTCTCTCCATTCTTCCTTCTGCCAACGGTGTCGCAGTTTCTCGTCTCTCCCGTTTGTGTGCTTAGTGCGTACGCATGGGTTAGAGTTTGCGTGGAGGACCGCACATTTTCCCGTCAAGTTAGTATTTTATAAATCGCAAACATTGCGTAGAAACTGGCGTACGCCATTTTTTGAGCGTATATCCCTTTATAAATGAGGCCCCAGATGAGGCCAGTTGTCTTGCCTGTGATCGAAACTAAAAAAGAGCGTAGAGGTGCTGGTACCACACTAAAAAAATGGAAGCAGGGGTTGAAAAGCAAAAACACAGCCTTTCAGATGTTGGGACGATTGGTTTGTTTTGCTGACTTGTCGAGCAGCCAGAGGGGAAGATCAGAGATTTAAAGAGGCGATGGGGTGAGGTACGCAGAGAAAGAATGTTTGACCTGTTTATAACATACCACCTACTCACACAAAATCAGGAAAAGACTGAACCTGTAGAACAACAGCAAAGCTATTCTCATGAGAGCGAGACCCTTTATTCTTGGAAAGAATGAAATGGGAGCTACAGATATAATTTTACCTTCCTGAGAACAACATCCAAATTAGAGCTGATTCCAGGAACCATCCCCCTGTGTGAACTCTGCTCCGATGACCTGTGGTGAGCCACACTGACACTGTACAGCATCCCTCACTCTGTTTGACAGCTGATCAGCCTCACGAGGCTGTGTTTTATGTCATCCTAAAAGAGTTCAATTATTTTGGGCCTCCTAACTTTTTAACAATTCTATATTCTAAATACATAATGCTTAAGTTGCTTTAGTAAAACATGATACAAATATTAAAGTTTCTTTTTTTTTATAATCTAAATACAAAAAACGTTTCCTTATTAATAGATATGTCAATCATCAAAAACTGCAAAGTTCCTGAGCAGTGCTTTGGCGAAGCTACCTAGCTTATGCTACTTCTTGTGCAGAATCTATCCTGTTATTGTTGCAGAGATAGTAACTAGTTACTAGTTTGTCCTGGAGCAATTGTACCGTATCACATGATCTACATTAGCAAATTAAGTTTGTTCAGTAGAGGTCAGTAGGACTGCTGTTTTCCTGCATTGGTGCAATCTGGTAAGAAACATATGACATATGTAACTGGTTTAGGGGTTGATTGTGTTTACCTTGAGCCACTCCTCTGCCTGCTCCTTGCTCTGCACGGCCAGAACCAGCGCATCTGCCCCCTGGTGGACTATCTTAAGTTCATGCTTCTTCTTTTTGCCATCTTTCGGAATGTGAGTGATGCTACACCCATACAGAGTCAGCTCCATCTGGGGGGTCTGGTCTTTGGAGGACTTGTAACACTGAAGGCAGAGAAAGGGGGCAAACGTGATGCTCTAATGTTTTCGCAGTCATTATTTCGAGAATAACTGTTACGCTATTTGCATACATTCACACATTTGTACCTAGATCACCTGTAGAAAGTGTGCCTCGCTTGGCTAATATGCACAGAGGAGTCCCTTACCAGCAGTTTGTTCTCTTTGATGACACAGAGCAGTTTGGTCCACTGTCCAAAGCGCTTCTTGCGCAGCAGGAATGCACAGATCCGAGCGTCCTTCACCAGATCCATGGACGCCTCTGCAGATGGCCACTGGTGACGCATCTTCTGGCCCTTTCCATCCTCCTCTTCCTCATCATACGACTCATAAGAGCTGCTCATGGCGTCCGAGTCATAGTCTGAAAGGAAGGGGCAGAAGGCACAAGGAAATAGCTCATTGTTTTTCATATTCTGCCTTTAACTGCCAGCAAATAGAAATACTTGAGAAAATATGTAAATGCTTGTTTTGTAGTTTGTCCATTACCTAATGTACGTATGGCTATGAGTAAATGGTAGGTATTAATGATGTGTATTGTAAATCAGTGTTCCACTCACTGGCTGTGATGTATTCGGGAGCTTTTCCAGGACTTAAAGGAACTGCTTCCTCATAGTAGCCTTCTGGTAGAGAGGAGCTGGGCAGAGGGGGGGGGGGCGGTGTTTGGAGGCTGCAGAGAGAACAGAAGCGTCCATTGATTAGAGGGAAGTTCCAGTATTAAGCATATCAAATTAAAATGACACTGACAGCTTTCATCATTTACTCCCACACAAAATTTCACAAGCAAATAATTAACATTTTAGAAATTGTCTTAACTAATTTAAATATGTTTTACTCTACTCATTTATTCTATTTCTATTTGTCATGCAAACAGACTACATCTTCATAAACCTCTTCATATGCCCCCTGTTTGGGTTGCTAAGGTTTTGGCAGCAGAATTAAAGTTTGTCCTTGAGTTTTTTAAGTAAACAGTTTAGATACAAATGGAAACATCTTAATAAGTCCTCCATCCGTCACTGCATCTTCCACTGATGGTGTCTATATATTCTGTATGCTTTGGGACAGTTTTCAGAATTAAAACGTAGGTAAGTCTAAATATTATATATCAGTTAACTGAAGTGATGCTCCAAATGATTTGGCGCCTCTAAGCAGTGCTCTCGCCCCAGCCTTCATTTAGTTCATGTGTTTTCAAGTGATAGTGTGCTTTACCATGGTTATATGGTGCTGTGGTGTTGTGTTGTTTAGGGCTGTATTTTATGTGATCTTTTTTTTGGGTTCAATGTATGTCTATAGGATGATGATTACATAATCAAATACATGAGATGGTCCAGTTCACTGTGAATCTTAAATCAAACTTTCCTTAAATAAAGTGAATGTGAAGCATCATATGATACTAATTAATCCCAAAACTTAGTATACAAGGTATTTCTCGTTCACTGAGCCAAATGCAAAGGTCCTTCTTCATATTTCTCTTGTCACAGTCCAAAAAAATCCCCTCTCATACATAATACTACATCATCATCCTCATGTTTCTCTTTTTTCACCTATGAGTCAAGTGACATGCTAGGCCCAGAAACCTTATTTTCATTTCCTTTGGGGGAGACTCTTGGAATGCATATGCTGCCCTGCTTCACTCAAAAGCCGCCAAATCTTTCTCCCACCCCACCCTTAAAAACAAAAGAAAAAAATCCCCAGGAGAGGAAATCAGAGGGAAAGAAAGGCAGGGAAAAGAAGAAGAGCAGTCAGACTCCAATGTCTGGCACAATATCAGTGTGAGAGGTGGATGTGTTAGTGTTGGTGGGGGCTGATTGTTGATATGAGGACCGCAGCTTCATATCTCACATCCCATTCACTTCCTTTCCATGATTTTAAAGCAAAAATACAATTTATCAGGGAGAATTTAAATGTTTCCGTAAGCATTTTTTGCTTGTGTAGGGCATAATACATTACACCTAAAACAAAATTGCTCGCTATTTAATGACCCAGACTTTAAAGGCACTGGGGTGAGGAGACAATGTGTGCATACTTATATACAGACAGCATATAAATACACAGACGGACTTTCCCTTTGCTTTCTCTACCAAAACGTCACACAGTGTGCTGCAAAAGTCTGAGCAGAGATTTCTTCAGTTTCAATGTGTTCCGCTCGCTGCTGCGCACAAACTACACAAATGCTATGGTTTGGGAACGCAGATTTCCAAACCATCTGTGGCCTATCCTCATACGATAGTACAGGCATCCTCAAAGTCCGGACTCCGGTCCGGATCCGGACCGAACCACAACTGTCTCTGGACTCTGAGCAAATTATACTTTTCATATGTAGGCTATTATGTATTATCTGTGTTATCTGCGAGACATCGCCACAACGCAACGAGTCAAAATGCTCCGCTATGTCCGCTGCATACAGCGCTCTGCATGTCCGACTGTTCCACTGTCTGTGTGTGTCTGTCAACGCTTTGGTCCAATCACATTCAGCATCCCGTCAGCGTTTTTTCCCCCCACCAAAAGTCTGCGAATCAGAGGCACAGTAGGGCGGGTCTTCGCGGAATGCGGGTGGGAAAAATGCGTGTGTCGTCTCTTTCAACCTGTCTGAGTCAGAGCGAGAGTTTTAAAAAATAGAAAGTCAGAGCGAGAGTTAACAGCTCATCTAGTTGCATCTGTACTGTAGCTAGTCACTTAGTTTCCCTAGGGTGGGATGGGGTGGTAACTGCCACCCTAAAAATAGGCCTTGCCACCCCAGCTGCCACCCCAGTTGGCAGCTTTGTTTTGAAAGAAAAGTTGTGGCTCATCTGACATTTATTAGAGAAAGTCTCTAATGTCCGAGTGCAAGTGAATGCAGCACAAGATGCACGTCTTGTAACCCCTCCCCCGTCCCTGGCGCGAGCGTGGAAATATGATTGGCGGCGATTTCATTTGAACGGGACGGCGCAAAACGAGAAGCATTCGGACCCAAGTACTGAAGGAATGAGGTATTTGCGGTCTACAATGACAGAGAAGAGACTGTCAAGTTTGGCTGTACTCAGCATTGAATCAAAACGCACTAAAGCTTTGGATCTTAATCAGTTTGTGAGGCGTTTTGCTGAACAAAATGGTAATCGCCGCATTCAGCTGTAATAGACATGTCAACTTGATACTCTGCTCACGGATGAGCATACAAAACTGTTAAGATGATGACCTTACGTGTATATATATATTTTTCTTTGTGGGGGTCTGCCCCCAAAAAACAGTTTTAAGTCCTGAGAAAGTCAAATAAGACGGTGTGTAAAACTACACTGCCCAGCCAAAAAAAAGTAACAACTTTGATTGAACTAGGCCAGTAGGTAAGGACATTCCACTGGATAATAACTGAAGTATAAAATAATGCATGACTGAAGTGATGGAGACCATGTTTGAAGGCAAACAAAAAGAGGAAATAACAGGTCAAATCAAGCAAATCCCCCTCTCAGTTTCCACAGCAACCAGAAGAACATAAATACTGATTTGATTAATCAGCTTTTTGATGGAATAAAAAATGCACCGTGCATTTCCTTAGCTGTGGATGAGTCCACTGACACCACTGACAATGCTCAGTTGCTGGTGTTTGTGAGTTTTTATGATGAGGCAAAGGGGGAGTTTGTTGAAGATGTGTTGGGCCTGACGAACCTCAGTGGACACACAAGGGGGCAAGACATTTATAAAGCAATAATGGGAATGCTGAATGAAAGAGGGTGCAGCTGCCTTTATTCATAACTGTGCAGCTCACACTGCGACTCTGAGGGATCAAGCACAGACACAATAACAATGAAAACTGCTGCATACAGATTATTTTTGTTTTTGCAACCTCGTGTTAAGAATCTTGTTGCAATTGTTGTAATAAACGGACCTTTGTCTTATTGAAACATTTTTTTTGGACCTTTAAGATTTGTATTTGAGTACCCCTGCGATAGTATATTTGTATGTACTGATCTAGATTGGGGTTCTCTTCATCTACTAACAATTAGTTAAATGCATTTTTGTAATTTAAATCCTTGTGGGAAGCCCCAGCCTACACATAGATGAGAGCAGCTCTACGTCACTTCCTGGCGTAATTACTGCCCCGCTCACTTTCCTGTGAAAACAAGGCATCGGTGCCAAGCGGGAAAAATACTTTCATAATCCCTAAAAGCTGCTGTGTCATGATTTGCCAATAAAACAGGCTCCCAATACAGGACGAGATCATAACCGATGGGACCCTGTGAGTCAATACATGTGCGTCTGTGGGAAACACTTCATCACAGCTACCTGACGATGCTAATTAGGCTAATGCCAATTATCAAAGTAAACATTTTTAATGTTAAAAGTCAAAGATGTAGATGCTGCATGGTCCGCCCTTCAGTTAATTCATAAACACACGCAAAAAGTAAAACATTAACTCCAAAAAATGTTGTTATGCTGTTTGTAAAAATCTCTCTTATGAAAATGTAGACTACATTTATTACGGAGTTTATGTCCAACAGACTCACAGATCGTTGGCTACTGAGAGGTATGCAAAATACACCGCATGTAGTACGACACAAAGCTCCGCTGTGGATTTTCAAAACAAAATACAGTGAAACTATGGTCGCAGGCCCAATTTTAACTCTCTGAAGTCTAAGCCATTTTTTCACATGTTAGACTCGCCTGGGCTTTTTTTGTAAAAATGCTATTAAAACATGAACCTTGGTGACCATTGGGCTGGCCTGCATGATTTGCCTACAAAACAAAAATAAAAACGTTTATGCAGCCCCAACAACAGCCTCTGATCATCAACAGACTTCATGCAATGCTTCATTGGATGCATATATTAGATAATAATCTCTATCTAACTCCTAAAACATCTAAATCTACTTCCAGCATGGATAAATGTTCTGCAAAGACATCCATTGTTTGTTTTATACGCTTCTTGAAATAAAAATAAAAACACATCGTTTTTCTAGAACAGATTACAAATCGCCTGAAAATGGTACAAACAAGTGGCAACATGTGTGACGAAGGTGTTGTGCTGGGCTATATCATGCAATCGGAAGTGAAACTTAAGCTCGCTCCATTGCGGAGATATTCCCGCGAGAGTGCTGAAAACTAATTTATTTATTTCAAATGTGACATTTTACCAATATACTCACGGACCACTAGGGGGCGATCACGGACCACCAGTGGTCCGCAGACCACACTTTGAGAAACACATAACGAGCGGAACATGTCATCACTTGATTAAATCTAATTTCTCTTAAAGGTCCCATGACATGGCCATTTCTACTGATCATAATTCCATTGTTGAGGTCTACTAGAATAGATTTACATTGTTCAATGTTCCAAACTCACATTGGTTTCTCATACAGCATCTCTGTAAACTATGTATATTCACTCTCTGTCCTAAACGGCTTATTGGAGGTCCTGATTAGGTGTTACAGTGGCGTTAGCAACCAGAAAATGACACCAGTAATCATGGACGCGGGAAGGGGGGGTGCTGAGGGGGCTGCAGCACCCCCATCTGCGAGGCTCCACTAGCACCCGCACACCCCCCCCCCCCGCAAACGCAGCGCACCGACAGTGTAAGGAGTGATTCCCCTGAGTGTAATGTGTTATGTGTCTTCGCTTTTGCAGAGGTTATGAGTTCAACAATTAGTATGGCCCTCGAAGGATGTTGTAAAAATTGAAATGGCCCTTGATAGG